TCTGTAAAAAATCAATAAAATTTATAAAAAAAATTAAAAAAATCTCAATTACAGTTGACATACAATATTATATTAGTTCCAGGAGTAGAACAGTGTTTAGACATTTTTGTTACGTATTTCTTAACCATGTAATATGTGTAAAACTGTGCTACTGTTTTTATTAGGTTCCTATCTTTTTTAATGTGTCACTGATGAAGTTTTGAGTGTTGTGTCCCTAACCCCATTCCCCCCCCACCATAAGCCTTGTGGTTTTGTTGCATAGTATGGTGATTTTCAGGAATGCATATGTTATAGAAGAATTGACTAAGCCTAAGACAAAGAAAACAGCAAGGGAGATGACTGCAGAATGCTTCTGAAGCTAGAAAGTAGGACAAATTGTAACTAACTGTGAAATAATAGAAAACACATATATTGGTCTCTGCCCTTCGCTCCTGGCACGGGGCTCTTAAAAACCCTTGTAAATTCCTAAGTGGTAAGAGTGCTAGGAACATTTCTTGTCCTAATATTTGTCTTTGTCCCCGTGTCTGACACAGGGCCCCTAAAACCCTTGTAAATTCCTAAGCGATAAGAGCACTAGAATCATCTTATGTTCTATTGAGGCGACTCTGGCTGTGTTCAAGGATAGGGGCTGGTTACCAGAAAGACCAAGTCATGATTAGAAATTTGAAATTTTTAGCCCCACCCTCCAACCTCAAGAGAGGGGAGAGGGGCTGGAAATGGACTTAATAATTGATCATACGGCTGTGACGAAGCCTCCACAAAATCCCAATAGTATGGGGTTCAGAGAGCTTCCAGGTTGGTGAACACATCCACAGTGGGAGGGTGTTGTACTCCAGCTCCACAGGGACAGAAGCTCCTGCACTGGGGACCTTCCCAACCTCACCCTATGTATCTCTCCATCTGGCTGTTCATCTGTATCCTTTATCATATCCTTTGATAAACTGATAAACGTGTTTCCTGAATTCTATGAGTTGCTCCAGCAAATTAATAGAACCCAAGGAGGGGGTTGTGGGGACCTCAGATTTATGACTAACTGCTCAGAAGCACAGGCGACAGCTTGGACTCCCAGTGGAGTGGGGGACTGAGCCCTTAACCTGTGGGATCTGAGGTTATATCCAGGTAGACAGTGTCAGAATTGAGTTAAAGTATAGGATGCCTAGCTGGTGTCACAGAATTGCTTGGTGGAGAAAACCCGGAAATGTCAGAAGTGAGTATTCTGTGTGAGTAGTAAAGGAGACACGCAGAAAGAGAACTGTGGATTTTTAACACACTAACTTAGACCTAAGAAAGTTGACTATTAAGCCAGCTATGAGAAAGAAGGGAGCCACACAGAGAGCTTCAGCAATCTGCACGGGTTCTCCTGAGTACATTGTTGAATAATGAGTCTCGGGTGTGTAGAGTGACACTGGGGAAAGAATGACTGGGAGTTGTAAGCTGAATAATTTTCAGAGCTCATTCAAGTTACTACCAGTGAGAGAGAGGAGTCCCCAGTGAGCACCTGGGGAATTCAGCAGAGACCCCAGAAGGGTCTTGCCCTAGTGAACGGGCTAAATTAGTCCAGAGTAAAGACTACTCTAGACTCGCCTCACCAGAGCTTAATATTGGAGGACTATGCTACCAAATCCCAAGACTTAATATAAAGCTACAGTAATCAGGAGTGTGTAATATTGGTAAAGGATAAACATATAGATCAATGGAATGGCAGGATCCAGAGATAGACCCAGCTGCAAAGAAAAGACCCAAAAGGCTGACAGTGGGATTTCTTCAGGCGAACAGTTCAGCTGTCTCATGCTACAGTGAGTCCAGCATTGACATGCCTCATCTATGCTCTGAACTCCCAACCCAGTTTTAGTGTTACCTCTGGAAATGTGAGTAGTTAGCCAAGAACTTCCAACATGAAAACTGGAGCTCAGACAATAACAACAACAAAAGAAACTGGAGGAAGCAAAGACTAACTAGAGAGATTAAACTAGTAAAAGAAAAAAAAACCTCCCTTTTATTAATATTTTCAAAGAGAAGATATTTCAAAGAAATAATTCCAGAAAAATTTCCAGACTTGAAGGACATGAATTTGTACTTGGAAATGGCCCACTAAATCCCCAACAGATACCATTAATTCATTCCACTGGGAATAGAGAAGATTACATGAACTTCTAGAGAGGAGAAAAAAGGTTTCATATAAAGGATCTAAAGTCAGAATGGACTCAGGCTTCTCAGCAGTAATATTGGCAGCTAGAAGACAGTGCATACCTTCAAAATTTAGAGGGGAAACATTTTCCAACTCAGAATTCTACAGCTGTGCAAACTATTAATTGTTTTGAGAATAAAGACTATTCAGACATGCATTTTCTCAATATATTTGTATCACCTTTCTCAGAAGGCTGCTGCAGGCTATGCTCTACCAAAACTAGTAAACTAAGAAAGAGGAAGAGATAGAATGCAGGAAACAGGGAGTACAGTGAAAAAGAGAAAAGAAGGGGGTTCCTTGGAAGAGGGTAAAGGGAGATCCCAAGATGAAAGCAATGCAGCAGGTCTAGAGAGCACCCAGTCCAGGTGGGAAACTGGGAGAGAGCTTGGGAAAAATGGCCCCAGGTGATGAAATTGATAGAAATATTTGACATGTTTGACCATAGTGAGAGGTTTAGGCAAGTGAAGGAGGGTCTGGGATGATTTAGGGATCTATCTCTATCTCTATCTCTATCTCTATCTCTATCTCTATATCCATATCCATATCCATATCTATATCCATATCCATATATGTGATAATGATACAGATCATTATTAACTCTGGAAAAACCAAAAGTAAGAAAGTATATTGCATGGTTCAAAGAATGAGTGAAGTATACTGCATGGCTCAGTTGTGAATACCAATTAAAGACATAGTTCTATCAGGAAGAAGGGAGATGAGAAATGTGGTGGCCGTGGGGTGGTTGTGAAAGAGGTAAATTATCACTTTCCAGAGTGGGAAGTTAATGTTAACACCTAAACCTGAAAAGACAAGAAAGAGTAGTATAAATATACCGTTTAGAGACATGTATATACATTTAAAAAATAAAAGTTTAAAACTTGAATGACAGCCTTTTGGGAGTAGAAATTGTGTATGCCTGAGAGCTGCTATTTTTCATCATAAGCTTGTGTATGAATAACTGATAAAAAGCTATCTATCTATCTATCTATCTATCTATCTATCTATCTATCTATCCATCCATCCATCCATCTATATTTGGGGACCATTGTGAAAATGGTGGCTGAAGTGGAGAAGGCTGACTCTTTTCCCCTTTGTTCTGTTGATATACTCAACCAATAGGATAAAAAGCTAATCAGCTAATGAGGGTAGATGTGAAAGTCTGGTGTCTGCTGGAGCCCAGAGTAGGCACACCAGAAGCTTTGAGTTCTTAGAAACCTGGGATCAAAGGCCTGGGGAAAGCTTGTTTGTCTAGGAAAGTCAAGGCTCCCTGAGACACCTGAGGGGGTAGAGCCACTCCCTCAGGACAAGGAAAGGACTCAGCCTTGGATCTCTGAGAGGTCTGGAGAGAAGTTCCCTAAACTTACTGACAGTAGCTGCCCTACAGGGAACTCACCCTGTTTGCCTGAGGTGGGTTCATACCTGGAGCAGCCAAAGAGCCCAAAGCTCTCCCCATTCTTCAGACAAGAGTCCTGCATACCAGCCCATTTGCTGCCAGCCTGAAGGGAGAACACCAATTTGAACAATCAGAACAAGTGCTTCTTACTGAGGAAAATTTAATGGAACAAATGAGATAGAAATTAAAAATAATGTACAACAACAATACTTCTATGGTGATTCAACAATTTATTGCTAAGGAATGATCTGTATATATAAAACCCTAATATGCTAGTAGACTGAATGATGGAACAACTGAACAACCAAACAACCAGTTGCTATGATGTGCGCTGACCACCAGGGCGCGCGCGCAGAACATGGCAGGCGTCAGCAGCAGGAGACAGAGCGCAGAACGTGGCAGGCATTGGCTGCAGTGGAATGGGGTGAGTGGGGGCGCCAGACCAAGTCGGGGCACCAGTCATTGTCATGGGGTGAGCCTCTGGTGGTTACTGAAAATTCTTTGCTCCTGCTTGCTGTGATCCCCCAGGCGTTCGCATATGCTGCCGGGGCCCAGCACCGGCCCGATCGCTCAGTGCCGTCAGTGGGTGCGAGCGGTGGCTGCCAGCCCCAATCGCCCCTCAGGGCTTCTCCACCTCCCCCTGCTCCTGAGTGGTGATCAGGGCCCAGCAGCCGCCTCTCACACCCACTGCCGGCGATGGCCCCACTCTCACCCGCAGCCAGCACTGGAGCCGCTGCTGGTGCTGGCCCCAATTGCTCTGCACTGTTAGTGGGTGCGAGCAGGGGCTGGTGCCGTCTGTGAGTGGGGCTGGTTGCAGACGGGACCAGGGCCCGCAGCAGGAGGGGCTCGGCGGGGGCGTGGAGGATGGGCCGAGGGCACCGCATCCTTGGTGCCCACAGTTCCTTTCAAGGTGCATGAATTTGTGCACTGGGGCCTTAGTCTTGGAATAAGAAAAGAGGTTTTGGCAATTAAAAAGTACTGAACTAAAACTCAATAGAGGAAGTGAAAAGTAGAATAAATACTACTGGATGATAGAGAAAGTCATTCAGGAGATCAGATGGAGGAACTATCTTGCAACATGGAACAAATTACAAAGAAATGGAAATTATGAGTGAGAAGATAAGAGGATGCTAAAGCTAGGAGATCTTATATCTGAATAATATTTGTTTCAGAAGGCAGGAGAAAAGAACAAATAGAGGAGAACCAATAAAGAAAGAAATAATAGAAGAAAACTTTTCTGAGCTAAAGAAAGACTTGAGCATTAACATACAAAGGGTTCTTCAAATGCCTAGCAAGATTAATAATAAAAACAAGATACACACCTAGTCATCTCGGTGAAATTTCAGAACTTCAAAAAAAAAAAAAAAAGTAAAAATCCTAAAAACTTCCAGACATAAAACAATCAACAACAAAAACAGTTTACCTGAAAGGGAAAGAGAATCAGACTGGCACTGGAGGTCTCATTTGCAATGTGGAAAGCCCTATGATCATTAAATGATCCCAACAGCTTCCAGGGAAAAGAACTCAGATCCAAGAATCTTGGCCAAAATGTTATTAAGTGTAAGAGTAGAAGACAGAACTTTTCAGATCTCTAAGGATCTATGTACCATTTTTCAGTAAACCATTCAAGAGTTAGTTTTAGATAAATAAAAATTAAATTTGAAAAAAACCACACATCCCAAGATAGGGGAAGACAAAGAGCAAATGAAACAGTGGAGAGCAATAGATCTAGTAAAATTTATAGTAAATAAATGGATGATGATAAACTAATTTTTACACTATGTTATACATTAGAAAGGATTTTTGAAATAGAAGGCAAGGGGGAAAATCCTTAGTAATAGGTTGAAATGAAAATTACAGATTATTTCAATCAAACTAGAATATGGGATGGAGAGGCTGATGTGGTTGAGAGGAAAGAGGTGATGAGCATGAGGAAATAAAAAGTGCTATAAGATTGTGCTGAGTTAAAGGGGGTCATATAACTATATAATTTTGGTATGTTGATAGCAAATTATCAAATAGAAATAGAATATGAATTTAATTATAAACAGAAATATGAATTTCAATATCTCTATCATCCAGCAGTATTTATTCTACTTTTCACTTCCTCTATTGAGTTTTAAATTTAGTAAATATTAGTGAACTTGAGATGGATAGAAAAACTTCCAAATACCAGGAAGGGAAACATTTAATTTAAAACAGAAAAAAAACTGAAAGGATACCCATAATAGTAGAGACCTATGGGGTCAGGTAAGGAAGGTGGGATTTAGAGAAGTGAAGGGAGAACTTTCATTTTTCCCCTTCTTTGTTCTTCTCTAATTTTTGAATCCTTTTAAACAATTAGGATGCATTGATTCATTGCCTTATAATTATAGACAATAAAGTCAGAAACACTGAAAAGTCAACACTATTCAAAGATGCAAAGGTGATGCCATTTGCAATGTCTTTGGAGAAACTCCTTTCTTTCCCTGAACACACCCTCCGCGCCCCCCCCCCCCCACAATAATGAGTAATGATTATTACTGGAGAAAAGTATGTGGCTAACTTCTGACACGACTTTTATGTTCAAAGTAAAAGCTAAAGAATTATGCCATAAACAAAGATGTCTATCTGTGTACTTACAAGTTCCCATTTATTGAGAAGAGGTGTTCTGACATGCCCTATGGGGGATGCACTGTTCTCAACTTTAGAAAATTGGACTCTGTGATGGGCCTAGAAGCCACCAGCGCAGTGGCATGGCCTAGTAGATCTTCTTTTTTTATTATTATTTATTATGTCTTTTTTACCCTAGTCCAGACACAAATCTCTTTTTTAAATATATTTTTATTTATTTCAGAGAGGAAGGGAGGGAGATAGAGGTAGAAACATCCATAATGAGAGAGAACCATTGATCAGCCGCCTCCCGCACGTCCCACACTGGGGATCGAGCCTGCAACCCGGGCATATGCCCTGACTGGGAATCAAATCATGACCTCCTGGTTCATAGGTCAATGCTCAACCACGGAGCCACGCTAGCTGGACCACAATAAATCTTGATTTTCAAAATCATCTCCTTAGCCACACAAAACTATGGGATACATCTCATGTTTGTCACACATATGCCCCCTTTCTGTTTTGCTAAGAAAGAGGTGTTTAATCATGTAACAATTTCTTTCCCACAGAGGAATGCCACAACTGCCACCATGAGAACAGCTGCAGACCAGTAGCTGTGGAAGTAGATCTTCTTAACCTAGGAGTTAAGGCACCCTCATTTTAGTTTTGTCCCTGCCATTTGTATGGGCTACATCAGTGGTTCTCAACCTTCCTAATGCCGCGATCCTTAATACAGTTCCTCATGTTGTGGTGACCCCCAACCATAAAATTATTTTCGTTGCTACTTCATAACTGTAATTTTGCTACTGTTATGAATCGTAATGTAAATATCTGATACGCAGGATGTATTTTCATTGTTACAAATTGAACATAATTCAAGCATAGTGATTAATCACAAAAACAATATGTAATTATATATGTGTTTTCCGATGGTCTTAGGCGACCCCTGTGAAAGGGTCGTTTGACCCCCAAAGGGGTCGCGACCCACAGGTTGAGAATCGCTGGGCTACATGCTTTTGTGCAAGTCATCTAACCTCTCTGAAGCTGACTTCTCACCACAGAAATACTGTGATCCTGCACTTAATCAACATTCCCTAAATGTTTATTTTATGGATAGTGAATAAATAAATGAATGAAGTAACTTGTCTGAGGTGACCCTTAGTGGAAGCCTACAAGTATCTAGCTTAACACACAGTGAAGATGGGTCCCTCCTACCTCCCTTCCCCCCACCCCTCAGCACTCTGCACGCCTCCTGGAGGATGCGCTCCTGGTTCTCCACGGAGCACAGGACCAGGGTGCAGACCACCACGTCCATGGAGCCATCGGCCACCGGGTGCATGTCCTCCCCGGCGGCCACCACGAAGCGCTCAAACTGCACGTGTCGGTTCTCAGCGATGCTCTTGATCAAGAACTTCTCAAAGTTGGGGTTGGGGTCAACACAGGTCACCCTGCATCCGGGCGGATAGAACCTGAAGTTGGCCCCGGTGCCACAGCCCAGCTCCAGCAGGGAGAGCTCCCCCGAGGGGCTCGCGTGCTCCTGCAGGCTGCTGAAGAGCTCCCGCTTGTGGCTCGCCATCTGCTTGTGGTACATTGAGATGAACCTCACCAAGAAGTAGGGAAAGTATTTGTTTGCATATCCCATTCCACAAGCCCAGAAAGTTCAGCAAGTACAAGGGGAATGCCAGGATGCGGACGGCCAGAAAGAGAAGGTGGGTGAGGACTGCCAGTGTGCAGGAAATAGAGCCCAGAACACAGGGATGGGGGACGAGGAGAGGGATGCGGGTGGTAATGTACGATTCTGTAGACCTCCTAGCAGTGCAGGCATCAGGTGAGGGATGAGGTGGGGGAAGTGAGAGCTTGACTCCCAGTCTCCTTGGGCTCTTACCAGCAAGGAGGAGACAGGACGCGTGAGCATGTTCCAGCAGTCATCTGCCACAACAATAACGTCAACACCAGAAACAGCTCCCATTTACTGAGCCTCTAAGTATATTTTATAACATTATCTTCTTCAATACTTAAAAGAACCCATGGGATCGACACTATTAATTCCCCGTTTTACAGAAGGAGAAACTGAGTCCCACAGAGGTTAGCTACAAGATTGCGCAGCGGGGAAGCGGCAGTCTAAGTAGAATCAGAGTCCACACCTTCATCCGGGTGCTGCAGGGTGTCCCGGGGATGGCTGGTCTCTTAGGGAGAGTTACTATCATGCATGCAGGGTGTAGGGACAGGTCAGAACCACCCCACAACATGTCTTTATCTATGAGAAATAGCCATTCTAATGGAGTCTGTAGAACCTTCTCTGGCTAACTAGCCTTCTTGCCCACCTTTGCATATCCATGTCCATCCTTGGTTCCTTCTTGCCATCAACGTAGAGGCGTTTCTCCTCTGCAACAAGCTGGCCTCACCTGGACTCTTAAACTCACCCTCCAAACCCCCTCCCTGCCCCATAAGTTAGCTCCCCGCTCATATTTAACATCTCTCCCTATGGTCTAGCCCCTTTTCCACTGCCAAGCCGCATGCTCAAATCTATTTATGCTACAATAACTTTTTCCTTTAGCTTGCTTTCCATTCAAGTTAACTTCTCATCTCATTTTCCTTTACTGTCAAACTTCATGAGAAATTGTAGTTGGCACTCCGTGTTTCCATGTCCTCACCCCATTCAAACCTCAGCCTGCTGATGACTGGCTTTTACCCCCACAGCTCCAATGAAAGTGCATGCAGACAAATGAGAAGGCGGCCAGAGGGAAGGGGAGTAAGACAGGGTGACAGAGGACTAGGAAGTGGTGACCAATGAGCGGAATGGAATGCTGCACCTGAGGATCCCAGAGAGGCTGGTGTCCAGGACACAGGTGGAGAGAGCCAATCCTCAGAGCCCCGAGGGAGGGAGAAGGAGAGGGTGGGAGGTAAGGTTGGGTGGGGGAAGGAAAGTAAGGGAGTTTTTGCCAGATGGCCTTGATTTTCTCAGTGAGAAAGAATGCGCTGATACTTTAATTTTTTTTAGTTTATTTATTTTTTGCTCTGATAATTTTCGAGAGTGCAGGTGCAGGGTATAGGGTGGCATAGAGAGTAGAGAAGCTTTACAGTAGCAACCAGGACATCTGGGAGAGGTTGCTGAGCAAAGGCAGAGGGAAGTGCCCAGTAGCAAAGAGGGTGCAGCGGAGCCTGAGGATCTGATTTGGTGGTGGCACCAGATCTACAGGAGACGGTTTTCTTTGCCGATGCTCTGCAGGTTAGAGTTCGCAGAGAAATTCAGTGTTTAGGCTGAATAGGCCTGGGGGTTTTTCCTCTTGGAGGAGACTGACGGCTGCGGGGTCAGGGAGGGAGGGTCCAAGCTGGGAAGAAAGTCTGAAGGAAGGTGGTAGGCGGGGAGAAATGTCACAGTCGGGATAAGGACTGAGGCTGTGGAACATGTTTGTTGAGACTGAGAGCTACGAACAGCCCTGTGTGTGAAAGACTTCAGAGTAAAGCAGTGTAGGGTCTAGAGCAGTGGTTCTCAACCTTCCTAATGCCGTGACCCTTTAATACAGTTCCTCATGTTGTGGTGACCCCCAATTTCATTGTTACAAATTGAACATAATTAAAGCATAGTGATTAATCACAAAACAATATGTAATTATATAAAGGTGTTTTCCGATGGTCTTAGACGACCCCTGTGAAAGGGTTGTTCGACCCCCAAAGGGGTCTCGACCCACAGGTTGAGAACTGCTGGTCTAGAGCAGGGGTCCTCAAACTTTTTAAACAGGGGGCCAGTTCACTGTCCCTCAGACCGTTGGAGGGCCGGACTATAGTTTTAAAAAAAACTATGAACAAATTCCTATGCACACTGCACATATCTTATTTTGAAGTAAAAAAACAAAACGGGAACAAATACAATATTTGTATTTGCATGTGGCCCGCGGGCCGTAGTTTGAGGACCCCTGGTCTAGAGTGTGGCAATGGGCAGAGACAAGAGAAAAGGATGGAAGTGAAAGTCAGTGGAATTGCAGAGCTAAGGAACGATCAGGCTAAGATACTGGGAGGTCATCCACATGGAGGATGAGGGTGCCGGTTGGGGAGGAGCAGCAGGAACCAGGCGCCAGCATCCCTGCTGAGGGTGAGGGAGTGGCAGGAGGTCAGGAAGTGACTGTGAGCTCAGCAGGGACCAGCTTCAGAAGAGGAGGTAGACGTGGGATAAGTGGATGGCATGAACTTTGTAGGACTTTAAAAAAATTACAGTGACTTATGCAATCAATATATAAAGGTAAAAACACTATCACTATGTAAGGGATTTTATTCTTTTCAATGAATAGCATTCCTCTGAATGTATGCAGCTCAATAGATTTAATCACTTCCCATAGAAGGGCAATTATGTTGTTTCTGTTTCTCACTGATATAAAATAATGGCAGCAGAGACCACATGTATGTGTGCACTTTTGATGAGAACATCTATAGGATAAGTCCCTGGCAGTGGAAATGTGGAACACCCCCTGCCAGGGAAGGCGCTGGCTTTCTTTTAAATTCGTGTCAACTGAACCCATGATGAAGGCAGAGCCTTATCTTGGGGGCATATCTAACCAAGAGGTGGGAATGCCTCAGTTGACCTTCAAAGCCAGGTGCTGGGAAATGGGTTCTTGTCTAATTCTAGTCAAGCACCAGGAAGGAATGCGATTCGGACCCACCCGGAGGTGACTATTTATGAGGAAGCCACAAGAACGCACACATTCCCCCTTCTATTTACCCTTAGTAAAACTTCCCGGTATTTGGCTATAAATAAAAGTTGCTGCGATGGCTCTGGGCCCTGTTCATCTATCAGAGAGCAGACGCCACACCGGGTCCCAGCTTCCCTCTATTTCTGTCTCAGAGAGTTAGAAACATCGATGAGAGAGAAACATCGATCAGCTGCCTCCTGCATACCTCCCACTGGGGATGTGCCCGCAACCAAGGTACATGCCCTTGATAGGAATCAAACCTGGGGCCCTTCAGTCCCCAGGCCGACGCTCTATCCAATGAGCCAAACCGGCTAGGGCCTCAGTCTTGTTTTATTCATTTTTCCTTAAAACCTCGTCGCGTTCTATTCAAGATTTCATCAACCCCTGCGTTCTCTCTCTCTGTGCTGGTCGCAAGAAAAGAAAACGCCATTCCCACCATATCTACCGCCACGAACAGGGATCCCCATAGGAAATACTTGGTTAAGGACAAGTGTATTCGTCCTGGCTGGTGTGGCTCAGTTGGTTGGAGTGTCATCCAAACACTAAAAGGTGGTGGGTTTGATCCCCAGTCAAGGGTGCATGTTTCTCTTTCTCTCCTGTCCTCTCTCTAAACAAAACAAAACAAAACAAAACTAAACAAAACAAAACAAAACACCACACAAGTGTATCCATTTTGTTTAGATAAGAACAAATGTCTTCAGTTTTGACAGAGGATGAGCCAGTCGATGACCCCGTGAACAAAGGACAAAACTCTGTCACCCACATTCTAACCTCTGTGGGGCTCAGTTTCTTCTTCTGTAAAATGGGGAATAAATAGTGTCTATCCCATGGGTTCTATGCCATAGGGTTAGTGTGAGAATTAAATGGGTGAAGAGATGCAAAGTGCTTAAAACACTGCCAAACACATGTAAAGTAAGCACTATGTAACCAGTGGCTCATATTCTTTTTTTTTAAATTTAAATCTTATTTTCAACTACAGTTTACATTCAACATTACTTTATATTAGTTTCAAGTGTGTATCATAGTGGTTAGACAATCATATACTTTACAAAGTGTTCCCCCAATATTTCCAGTACCCAGTTGGCACCATACATAGTTATTACAATACTAGAGACCCAGTGCACAAATTCGTGCATGGGTGGGGTCTAGCCAGCCTGGCCCCTATCGGCGGATCGGGTCTGGGCCTGTTGGGAGGAGGAGATGGCGGGAGGTTGGCTGGCTGGCCCGGGGGAAGGGGCCGCGGGTGTTTGCGGTGAGGGGGGCCAATCAGGGGCAAGGCCGGCTGGGGGGGAAAGGCCGTGGGAGGTTGGCTGCCGGCCACCCCCCCCCCCCCCCCCTAAGGGAGATTTTAAGGGTACAATGGGGCACCTTGCGAAAACCAATCCCGGTTTTCCGGGAGTCTTGGGGCCAGGGCTTTGTTAAACACTAAAAATGAATTGGCGAATTTATTTCCCGAGATGGGGGAGTTGAAAGGCGGTGACAATGGGGGGGACGTGGCAATGTAATTGTTTAGGGTTTGGGGCTGATTGTAGCAGGGGGTCGGACGGACGGGCCCTCTTGCTCAGAGACAGGGGAGGAAGAGAAGGGGGTGATATTTGGCCGGATCGTTAATGTTAAGTTTTGTGAAGGAGGATGTGAGTGACTGGAGAAGAAAGTTGTAACGATGAGGTTGTCTTCTAGAGCGCAACGCTCACTCCAGCGCGCATAAGATAAAAGCTGTAGTCAGCTGTATCTAGTTGTTTTTGATATCGCAAAAAAGGGGAGGAGAAGCTGAGGCGACAGATTGCGCAGCACACGGTGAGGTGGTGCGGCG